TGATGTTGCGAAATTAATGCGATTAGAAAAGTGCGCCGATATGCGCCCATTCCCATGTGCCACCTCGCCTCTTGTGTAAGTGGAATGGCTTGCCACATGCACTAACAGTCGGGTATATGTATGTTGGGTGGAACACGAGAACATCATCGGATCCCGCAGTGTATCGCAAAGCAAGTTGGTCGTCTATGCTCATTACATTATGCATGCGCGCATATATTCTGCGCTTGTCTAAGCCATGGTGATTGATGCTCACCAGCTCTCCTGTCTTGCGACAAATCATCTAACTCCTGCCCTGCTCTTCAAGCTCTCTTAAGCCTTGCCAAACCCCTCCATTGCCCTCACGGGCCTCGCCGTAATCGCTACTTTTCTAACGGACAGCATCGTCATCTGCGTTTCCTCACGTCATCTCTCTTCGTAATGCCCCTTCCATCGGAAGCTCACTGCTTGAGAGCTGAGCCGATAGTGAGTGTGAGTTGAGTGTAGTAGCTGGCTCATCGGGTCTTCTCTGCAGGTGCATACCTCCTGGCGGCTCTTCATAGTCGGGATCTTTTGGCAAGTACCACATGGCGAGTCCAGCTTGGTATAGTGGAGGCAGCGTGCCGAGGCGAAGATTGGGTTTGGGGGCTATGATGGCTTGAGCGTTTGTAGGAGGATGATGTTGGTGGCTTGAGTCGTGTGGGCGAAGGATCCATCCGTGGATCACGTTCCCACCTCATACAAGAAAAAAACCGAACAGGTCTAGAGCCTACATCAACGCTAGGCCACCTATCTAGTAGGTTTAAATGTTGATGTAGGCTGCAGGCCTATTCGGCTTTTTCTCAATTGACGTGTTCCGGTCATGTGACTGTGACGTCAGATGCGCGTCCTCCCGCAGCGGCACGACTGTGCCACATGGACGTCAACAACAAGTGCGCTCATGTCCGAAGTGACACTTGCCTCCCACGTCGTACAATGAAGCACCTCACGTTTTCCGAGAAGCCGCCGTGCTACGCGCCTGCTTCGTGCATCAACGTCTCTACCCCCAACATGCATCGCTGTGGCTAGCCATCTCGACTCTGCGCCCCAACAACGCACTCATAACCGATCAAGGTTATATTCTTTCGTAACTTTGATTTCGTTCAGCCCCAATGAGCCCAGTCTCTCCGAAGGAGCCGATTCATTGTTCAGCGTGACAAAGGCAGCCGCCTGCGGTTTGATGCCTGGCATCCATTGCGAAGGAGGTGCGTTGAGATTTGATGTCGACGAGCCGTTGCTCTGTGTGCGGAACTTCATCCGGCGGAGACCGATACCGCCATCCTCAGTCGGGAGTGGAGGAGTTCGGCGCCACGAAGGAAGTGAACGGACGTTGGGAACGCAACAGCAGACGATACCGACAGCGACCTCGATTGGGGAAAAGCAGATACGCCACCACGACGCACCGATCGGATCATCATTGACGTTGCCGAAGACGTCGATCGCGCAGTCGATACGGAGGACTGCTAGGATAGTACAACTGTGTGGTGTCAGCAAGAGCTATTTGGAGCGAGCGCTTAGCTTCACGTACAAGCATCCAAGGAGGAACAAGACCATCACCCACGCCTTCTTCTTGCCTGAGAGATCTGCTGCTGCTATGGCAGGTATCGGGGCAAAGAGGATGACACTGTTGAAGAAGACGTGCAGCGATCCAATGATGATGCACGACTTCTTGCTCTGCAGCTTGCACTCCCCCGGTGGATGGCACATGCTGATCCAACCCGCGAGCGACCAGATGTACCAGACCGCGATGAGCGCCATAGACGCATAGCAAGCGATGCGAGCAAAAACTCTCTTCTCGTACAGGCGGAGGTAGGATTTCGCAAACGCCACCTGCACCGTTGCAACCGATGTGGCCCAACAGATATCCAGTGCGAATTGTATCTTGAAAGCCTGTTAGCCAACTCTCAAGAAGCCTCCAGCTAAACATACCCGCAGCCAGAAACGCTCCACAACGTCAAAGTTCTTCGTCGGGTCCGCCTGAATCTCATAGCTCGTAAGCCCTTCTCCGCCGAGGAACACCAGCACGTAAACTAGCGTAACCACGACAAAGCTCATAGCCTACGACTGTTAGCATGGTACCGCCGTCAGCATTCCATCGTCTTACCAGAGCAGCCAGCATCAGCGCATCTTCGTTGATCGTGTTGACCCGTCTGACACTCCTCGTGTACCATCTCGCCGCCACCGCTGCCGCAGCCACCGCAAGGCATAGTGTAGGCGCAATCAACAACGCAAGCTGCTTGCCATTGACAATGTCGAAACGATCCGATTGCTTCCCCGCCATGATCAATACTTTCCAGCTCTTCTTCACTTCACCGCATACCGAGCGCACATCAAAGCCAAAGTCGTCGAAAGAGAGGGGCGTAACTGGAACCAGGATTAAAAAGCCCCGAGCGGAGCGAGTGAACGTAGATAAAGCCAAAGAGGCGATCCTCCCAATTGCCTGGTCCAGAGCACAGAGCTGTCATGCACTATGCTCGTTGAGTCCGCCGTCTTCAACGCCTATCTCGCGTCACCCAGGGTGCCTCAGCCGTGCGGCCCATGCGACAAGTGTACTTGTAGTGTTGGCCTTTCGGGAAGCAAGACCTAGTCAGGGAGCGCGGCGGGGCTCATGCTGTGCGCCGCTGATTTGTCGCACATCTGACGGTCCGACGCGGAACACGGCTAACCTGCATGCATCCCTGCCAGCCATATACCTGTGACCCAATGAAAGCTACCACACCAGCAGGCCCTCCGTTCATGGGGGCTTGCGCTTCCGGGGCACTGATGCGGCTAGCATGAGCTATTGCAGACAAAAAGCAATATAGCAAGCTGGCAATCCTTTGCCGTATTCTGGTAGGTTTCTTGATGATAGTTTCACTTCCCTCGAGGCGATCGGTTAGCAAAAGAAAAGTAACTCAACGCTATGGGCGATCCGCGCATATGTCTGCATCACGACGTGCGGGGTTGCCGAAGCTGAACACCCCCGAGGCGACGGTTGGCTTCCCCTATCGATCACGCAGCCCCCATGCTCATCACCGCGAACTGAAACAAGCCCGCCGCGTCGGCCGTTCTTCGTCGCGTGGTCTGCCAGGTCATGGTTCCGGCACAAGCGAGGTGGCGCCCTTCTATCGTGACCTAGAACACAAAATCCACCTACCAACAAGCCTAACAAGATTGTAACTTTGCTTCTCGAGATTCCCGGCACACGTTGAGACAGCATTCATGCCTGCTATATACTCTAACCTTCTTTCTCAACAGTCGTGCCGTCTCGCTCAACACTACACATATTAAAGGACGCCGCCCTCTCTTTTTCTTTTCAATAGCGGCCCGATCGGTCCTCCGAAATAAATCTCCGACATGACACCGCAAATGCACACGCGTGCAACGGGAGAGTTACCGCAAAGATGCCTTCTAGAATTAGCCCAGAGATAAACCCGCATCTGGGGTATATCTCGCTCCGATCATACGATCCTGCAGCTCTTTCGGCCTAAAATCCTAGAGGTGACGTCGCAGGCTGTATATTGGATGAAGTCATCGGGCTAAGGTTCGGGCAGTAATGCGGTCGTCTGCGTGTCATATGCAGGGCAATAGGAGGGAGGGAGGTCATGTCACGTGGGGTAGGCTTATCTGGTGCTGTCACATGTGATTGGGGACGGCAGAGAACGGGTGAGTGAGGGAGAGACAATGCATTCGGAACTACAGAAACCATACGGTACGACCATGCGCGGAGGCATTCGCAACCGTGAAAACCGATAGACGCCAACGCCAAACCTATCCCAGGAGGTATTCAGTGACCTCTGACCCAGCCCAGGCAAACTTCATAATGATGCGCGTCGACCTTCACGACCCCAACACCCAAAAAACCCAAACGCCAAACCCATCCCAGGAGGTCGTCGCATACTTCGCACGGATGCAGTGAAATGCTAGTACTCAGAAAGGAGGTTCTACCCACCCCCAATACTCCCTGCTCGCCTCCTCCTCCCTCTCCACCCTCTCCCTCTCCATCTCTTCCTGTGCCCATGTTGGGAACAGTACTGTCCTACACATAGGACAAGTATTACACCTCTCAAACCAAGTCATGATGCAGTTGGTGCCGAAAACGTGGCCGCAGACGTTTAGCTTTGACACTGGTTGCTCTTCATTGGTGTGGTGGCTGTGAAGAGGCTTTGTGGATTTGAGCCAACTTGACTTGAAGACAATTGTGTTGGCTGGGTATTGTAAGGCCAGTTCAAGGACTTCCTTGTCGGCGGCGGTGAGCTTGGTGGCGGAGGGGTTCTCGCAGGCCAAGTCTTTGGTGCAGATGCTGCACGTGTCTGCTTCGCTGGCGGGCAGGAGGTAGGGAGACATACCCGCAGCGATGAAGTCGGCCTTGCAGGCGTAGACAGGTGTGGTTGAAGACATGTTTGTTGTAGTGTGGTGATGTTGTGTTGGTAGATGTGGTAGTAGTGTTGGTAATAGTGTTTGAAGATAGTTGAGATGGAATGGTAAAACTTTCTTCGGATTTTGGACTTTGAATGTGATGGATGATGAAGAAAGGATAATGGAGAGAAGAGAGGGACAGAGCACTATTTATTGAGTTGGAAGCGTCTCTGTGACTCACACTGCACGGTGGTAATGAGTTAATTATTGAGTTGGAAGGCTATCTGTGACTCACGCTGCCCGTTGATAATGAGTGGGTTTGCTGACCTTGGAGACCTCAGGAGTGGTGGTTACGTACTATCAGGAGCGCACGATCGCGCATTGTTCGCCGGAGCGCCATGCCGAACCTTAGATTTTCAGATAGCTGTGACTCAAGTGCATTGACGTTCCTATGAGAAAAAGGTCGTGCTCATCACATACAAGGGAAGCCTAGAAGTCTCTACTGCGCTGAGATTTCGCGTACTTTCGATTCGATACCAATGTGGGCTGCAGGATTTCTGTTCGCTTTCTTCCATGGACAAGGTGCGGGCAAAAGTTCCGGATCAACAATGAACCAGATCTATTAGAATTACACCCCCACACACACACTATAGCTCCTCAAACTTCTTGCCCCGTGTTCTGCTCAAGGCAGCAGTAGCGCCAAATGCGATACGACCCACATCATCCGTGGGTTTCTCGTCCCCGACGAACCCTGGGCACGCAGCAACAGTCTGCTTCCACTGCTTGTCCCCTTCGGCAGCGCTCAGAATATCGGCATGTGCCGTACCAGCCTTGACAACGAGTTCTGCACCCAACCAAGGCGTGAATGGCCTCATCCAAAAGGCGTACAGGGCAAGCACTAGCAACCCGAGAAGGTGGAGGCCGAGGAAAACGGACCCGGTGATGACCCCCCAAAGCGCGATATATGTCTTCTTGGTTGGAACGCCCGTATCGACATATACATTCCGCGATTGGTCGAATCCTCCCCATCTGTGGAATTGGCTCGGGTTCAGCCACTCCTTGTTGGCGAGGAAAGCGGCCACAGTGAACGCCCTACTTGCAGAACGTTCCGAATCAAAGAATGCGGCTAGTTGTCTCACGCGGCCAAGGACGTCGACTTCGGACTGGTAGTCGTAGTCGCGGAGGCACGGGCCCCCTATGGCAAAGTTGAGAGGCATATTCCCGAGGCAGTTGTTGCCGAAGTTTCTGAACCATACTTCATCATCGACCTCAGGCCGATCTACAAGGAAGGCGGATGGATTTGAAACTCTTCTCTCGATGAAAGAGCCTTCGCCAAATAGTGCCAGTCCAATAGCAGTCAGCGGACCGATGTGATTTCCAATGGGTTGTCTCACATTTCCTGCGTATGTTTCGTTGGTTGCTCGTTTCTCATCTCGACTGGATCCGCTGGTTGAAGAGCCTCTAGCGCTGTCCAAGGATAGCTTATGGAGTAACGGCCCGGCGCGATTGCCGTTCTTGGTATTAGGAAGTTCGAAGTAGCCTAACGTCGAACGGGCGGTGATTTTCCACATAATAGGAGTGCGTAACATTGAAGGCACCGAAATTGCGAGAAAAAGGTCCTCGGTAATGTCCTGCCGGTTGTACGTAGCTTGCCAAGGCGTGCCAGAGATATTGGCGGGTATGCAAGCTATTATATCGAACTCCCGGTATCCCGTCTCTCCTCCACGGTATTGTGCGAAAAATACATCTTCTCTGTCGCGAACGCATTCGGTTGGCCACTCAGCGTCTGTCATGTTCCTGTATTCAATTGTGGTATTGAGGCGCGGTGCGTACTGAGGGTCAACATAGACACCGGTGCTGAAGTCCAAGGGAACGGGTGAGAACCAGGCATCTAAGCTCATCTCATCAAGTTGATAAAGACTCCTCGAGAAGCGGTTACAATTGGTGGCCACACTGAATGTATCGTAACACATTTCATTATCCAGTCCATCCTTCTGTTCATCGATCCAGAGGTAAGGCTCATGTTCTCTTTCCGCGCGCGATTCTAGAATGCTACGGAGTCGAACAACTGCTGTATTTATGTCATTGTCGGTGCTGCTGATTAGAGCAGGTATATCAGCGACCCTAATCAGACCGGACTGTGTGCTGCGAGTTGGTATTCGTGTCGGAGTAACCTGGATAAACGTTGTCTGCAGAATCGGGAAGACAGCACCTGTATTCGAGTCAACACCGGCTTCCTGCCAAGATCTGGGCATGACTCACCCACTAAGGTCAATGCAAAGGCGAAGTACAATGGAAGACTTCCAACTTTAGACCACCTAGCCCACATTCTTGGGCTGATCCAGCCTTGATCTGCAAGCGCCATAGTCTGACGCAGATTCAACTTCGTTCTCGAGCTGCCAGCCTGGATATAGGCAGCGAAGGCTATAGAGCATATCGCTGAAGTGATGGGAATGGTGAGTAGGGCGACTACCGATTGCAGGATCTGCGCAGCCCTAAGGATCCTCTCGTGTTTAGCCAAGAGACGAGCTACATCTTTAAAGTAGTCTTGATTATCCGTATAGCTTAACTTGCTTCCAATCGGCCGGCTGCTCGCGACACAAAGAACGATCCAGGTGAATAGGGCGAGTGTAGCGTAAAAGATGAAGACCATCAGCGGCCAAAACGAAGTGTGGAGGGTCCTGACGATGGGCTCGCGAACGGTCATGGAAGACGCTCTCGACAGCCTCGACGTGTACATGGGCTCGTGAGTAGTTTCCGGGACCTTGGGTGCACCCGCGTTTGCTTGTCTGGTCTCCTCTCTGACGCTGTGCATCTCATGCGACTCCCGTTGCTCCATGTTTGGTGTGATCGATCCGCCGTTAGGGAAGATGGGGAGTCAAGATTCCCGCTGTAAGGGATGTAGCGTAGATTTAATAAAGCATGCGGATGTTATCGTCTGACAGCGCGTAACTCGACTGCGCCGTCTTGGCTCTTGTCTTGGCGTGCAGTTTGTATTGAAGTTGGGGGCTAAGAGCGGGTGTCGGCACGAGGGAATGCGATCCTCCACCATCGTCGCACAGGGGCTCCAGAGGGAGGCATACTTGTACACCAAACGCAGTGCCAAACCCTTGTGAACCTATTCAAAGGCCAGCCCACAGATTAGTCAATGAGACATCATGGCGCAAACTCGCAGAGGGTCGTCCAACGCGTACACTTTTCGCGGCAAGTGCTGGTGTCTTATTTCCACCTCAGCCTTACAGGGCTGACTTCAGGCCTCCCATCACACCGGTAAAGGGTCCAGGCGAGGTTAGATCTCGTATAACCGACATACAACTCATTTCTTCGCGACCACTACTACGCCACGCACAACTCCGGTCCGCCCCCACCAGCCGAACATAGCTTTCGCGACACCAAAGCGACCTAAGCCTAATCCTAACATCTTGAGCCTGTCGTCCTGCTCTTTCAGGAATGCTGCCAGTGGCGCGAACACATGTTCTGAGATGTCAGTGGTGGTGATGGCTTCAGGGTTGTATCCTATCTGCTCCAGCCTCTCGCGGTACCCCTGTGGTGTGGTGAAGTTCGCCCAGGGCGCACCCATGAGGGTAGTGAGAAGGCGAAGCGTCGTTCTCTGGGCCCATGTAGCGGTAGGAGAGAGACAAAGATCAAAACCCATCCAGCTTGCTTCTAGCTCTGAGTGGGCGTACTCAATGATGGGCCAGCGTGAGGGGGCGAAGTGATATGCTGTGTCTAGTGCCAACACCCAACGCTCGTCTGTGTCGTCCTTCGCATGCTGCAACTTTGTTTGCAGCTGTTTGTCCCAGGACTTGGGTTTCGACGCGTCGGCACAGAGGAGGGATATCGTGGGGGTTCCACCATCTTCCATCTCAGGAGATGCCGCCTTCGTCTCATTCTTCTTGAGCTCGTCAACTCGCTCCGAGGCGTATCGAGCCTGCACAGCATCTTTCGTGATGCCAATGTAATGTTGGTATGTGGCGCAGCAATCTCTTTCATCCCACCAGTCTTTGTCGCACGCTCGAATAGGTTCCTTGCTCATGAGATAGATGGTTTGGTCCCCGCATCCGAAGCCCAGATCCACCAAGGCTCTTCTCCGTGCTGCTGGGCCTTTGTCGCTTGAAAGGCCAGCCTCAGCAAGGATTACGTTCAGCATGTCTCGACAGGCTTCGCTTAGTGTCGTTGAAGTGGTGGCGTTCTTCCAATACCCCATGTTCATCCACATGGCTGTGGGAAGCTGCAGATGTAGCCGCCCATGTTGCAGCCCGTAAACTGAAGCCTTGTCTTCTTGAAGGCCCCGCGCTCTCATCATCAGCCAAAACAGTAGGGTCGCAATCCCTGCGCCTAGTATCTGCGTAGCGAACATTTGTTTGGCGTGTGGTCGTGATTGGTGCGACGCAGAGTCGGGTGCTTGTGGGATTTCGCGGGAAGCTTCAACGATGCAATGACGCTAGCCGTTTCTGGCGAAATGTCTGACGAGACGCCATATGACGCGCACAACAGGAAGTCGCATCCTAGACCCGTCAATGCCGAATACTTTGACTTTCGTTCAAACAATCTTGGATCGCCTACATCACTTCCTGAGTCCTAGCATGCTAATGGGCATGTTGTCTTGCCCGGGTATCTACTCTATTGGATTACCTGCAAGGCTACGAAAGGACCAAAGGCAAGAGGATGCTCCATGCGTCACAATCCGGGTCCGAATGCGCTCGACTTCATGAATCACTGATGCCTCCAGGGCACCGCGACGTCGAACGCATCAGCCACTCGCATGGCCGAGACAACGCAGCCTTCCAGGAGGACCATACCGTCCCAACACCAGCCGCCCACGAGCCAAACATTGTCCTCGCCATTCCTCCACTGTGGCACTGACTTGTCATCTGTGTCGAAGTTCGAGCGCTTATCAAATATGGCATTGACGATGCGCTGGCTCTCCGGGCTGCGAAGAACGCGCGTGAACCGGCTCCGCTGAGCAACGCATTTCTCATCGAGAGGAGTGCATGGGCAAGTGGTTACTACGACGCCACATGGTTGGACATGATGTGATTCGGTCGTGTGCGTACCGGAGGTTGCTGTATTGAGGTGGATGAGCTGCGCGCCTTTCTTGTCGACGTGCCTGGCGTCGCTACCGTGGAGGACTGCCCAATCCGTGTGAACGACACTTTCTACGACTGCAGTTGGTATGCGCTGCATGTGGTGTTGCAGAGGTCTGAAGATACGGCCGACGACATCTGGGGCGACGGCTAGAATAACCTTGTCAAAGAATTCCGTTTTCTGAGCGTCTGACCCGCCCTGAGACCAGGTTATCCGAACGCCCTTTTCGGAGGGCTCTACCGCTGTTACAGTGGCCTCGAGAGTAACATCGATACCCTTGACCAGGCGGTCTTGTACCCCTCCTACGCCATCTGATACAGTATAGTGTGGTGCGCCGTGGCTCCTCCGCTTGTACTCGATGATATCGCTGGCAGGGAATGCGAGTAGCGACTCGTGTGGACAGGTGGATACGCTCGATAAGAGGGGGAGGAGGTAGTAGGTAACGAAGTAGGTTGGGCAATATGTGCGGTCCAGGTACTGCTGCATAGTCTCGCCTCGTCTAGGCTCGAAGAAGAAACAACAGAGCGCGAACCACGAGTAGGCAAGCGTCAAATATAGCCATTGCATCAGGTACGAGGTCCTGCTAACTCTGCTCGGTCGGGACGCCATCTGGTGGAGGTTCGATGCATGTGTAAAATACGACGTGTCGCGGCGGCCAGTCGCTAAGGCCTCGGGGCTCGCATCGCGGCATTTCGCGAATTCGAAGAGGAAGGGCTGGGAGTTGTATTCGATGCGCAGGTAGTCGTACAGGGCCTTGAGGTTGTTGTAGTAGCCGCCCGCAAACGCGCGCATGGGCAGGTCCACGCGGGTGGAGGCGTCGGTGGCTGCATCGGGGATGGAGATGGAGGCGGCGTCTAGGGAGAGCGTTTTGCCCTAAAATTACTTTTGTGAGTACAGTCGCGGATAGAGTGGGTGTTAGGCGGCCTACCGACTCGAAGACCCTGACGGCATATCGCTGGCGGACATCGTGGAACAACAGGTTCGCGCTAACCAGTCCCGCCAGGCCAGAGCCTATTATTGCGACCTTCTCGCGTGGCTGCTCCATGCTGAGGTAGTCGTGGACGTCAGCGGTGTGGAGCTATGGTGTTGATATTTAGGGCATGACGTGCAAATCGTCGCATGTCCTCGGCTGCTGGCCCGCAGCAGTCTCAGAACAGGCATCGTCCGTCTCTA